TGAGCCGGTGAGATTTGAACCGCCGAACTGCAGCTAGCAGTCAGCTGAATGGCCTGCAGTGCTGCACTCTAACCACTGCGCCACCTCGGCTCGGCTCTAACCTAAATAAAAGGGCTAAGGAGTCGGCTTGATGCTCCTGGGAAGCCTGGGTCAGAACAGACGTTCTTAATGAATTTGTCAGAGAGGCATTTTGAACTCAAGGTAGGGAATGGCTTCAATTTCAAAGCTTTTTTGACTGACACCCAAGAGGATTACATCCGCTCCTTGCCCACTGCGAGGAAACGATCGTATGGATAGACCCAGGCCCACCCAAAACCAGGACAGAGGAAGGTCTGGAGAATGTGCTCACCAACTCCACACTTCCCACAGATCAAGATCTCATTCAGGGGCTCCGATGTCTTCTCCAGGCAAATATTACATTCGGGCTGTTCAGTGGGGACCCCAGCTAGAAAGCAGGGAGAGAGTGGGGGAGAAGAGATCCAGTAAGACCAATCTAGATTTAGAACTGTAACCTTCCCCCCTCCAAAAAAAGCTAATATCATCCTGGGTTGTTATAAACAGAGGGATAGAATCTGGGGTGGGATTCAGCCGCTTCAGACTGGTTCGGGCGAACCGGATGCTAATTTTACATCTGGTTCACCAAACCGGTAGTTGCATGGAGTGGCTCACCCCCAACTCTACCCTGCAAGATTCTAGTCCTCATTCATCTCATCCCCCATCCGCATCAACATCTGAAAATGTCGAGAATTCCCCCAGGGCAAGAGGCCGGGAATGTTCACGCACCATGCTGGATGTCCTTCCAAAGCACCCAATATTTGGAATTATCTTCAAAGGTCACCAGGCAACTCTGCTTAGCGTCACTCACCTATAAATGCAGGGGGAGGGGGGAAAACATACACAGACCTCAGATTGCAAAGGTGGTCCTGGATTACTCCAACTTTGCAACTTTGGGGTCTGTTCACATCTCGGGCTACGCCCTAACCCAACTCCCTAAAACCTCTGTGAACTCAAAAGTTTTTAATTACCGTATTTTTCAGAGTATAAGATGCACTTCCCCCCCCTAAAAGAGGATGAAAATTTGGCTGCGTCTTATACACTAAATGTGGCCCCGCCCACCCGTCAGCCCCCACCTGTCGGCCTCTGCCTCCCAGCAATTTGCCTCCTTGCAGAAAACAGCAAACAGCCTGTTTCAGTTTCAGCTTCGGCACAGCCTGATTAGCACAAACAAACAGCTGATTGTCAGTTGGATCCTCCTCCCAACCATCAGCTGTTTCAGGCTGCAGGGATTGCCATTGCCTATTTCCACCTCCGCACCCCTCATTTTTGGCCTTCACGTCCCATTTTTTGCCTGTGTGCGCCCCGTTTTCGGCCTCCGCACAACCAATTCCAATCCCCGCTATGGAGGCTGAAAATGGGGTGCACGGAGATGGCAATAAGCTATGGCAATCCCTGCAGCCTGAAACAGCTGATGTCGGGAGGCTGATCCAACCGACAATCAGTTGCTTGTGCTAATCCGGCTCTGCTGAAACTGAAACAGGCTGTTTGCTGTTTGCTGCAAGGAGGCAAAGGGAGGTTTTTTTTCTTGTGCTAATCAACCTGTGCTGAAATGTAAATTGAAACTGAAACAGGCTGTCTATTGTTTGCTGCAAGGAGGCAAATTGCTGGGAGGCAGAGGCAGATTTTTTTCTTGTTTTCCTCCCCAAAAACTAGGCGCGTCTTATACTTCAGAGCGTCTTATACTCTGAAAAATACGGTTTCCCTTTTGTTCCTTCACCAGTATCCAGCGATTGCCATTTGTAGCAGAAAAAGGAGATACAAGAATAAATACAGTTAAAAAAGAAAAGAATAAGCTTGTGGGAAGGCATGAAGATAAGAAAGGGAAAAGGAGAAAAATGTTATTTACTCTCTTAATCTTCCCAAGATAATAAAGTCCATCTTTCCAATGGCATAAGACATACTGTCCTTCGGGTAATTTCGCCATCCGCTCTCGACGACTGTCCTGAGTTCTGGCGACCCAATCCGCCATTGATTGCTGCAGGTGTCCGAGGGCTGCATAAGTGCGCCCAGGGTCAGGAGTCCCCATGCTCCTGGGCTACAAAGAGAAAAGAAAAGAAATATTATTTCTAAAAACGCATAGCTACGATTAACTCAAGGCCGCCAAACAAAAAAAAAAGGCATTAAGAGTTGTTAACCTAATTTTGCGAAGTTCCTCCTCCGGTAACATTGTATTGCAAACTAGGGCATACAAAGCCTTTGCCAGACCAATCCTCGAATACAGCTCGTCTGTCTGGAATCCACCCTGTATATCGGGCATTAATACTATCGAGCGAGTCCAGAGATATTTCACGAGAAGAGTCCTCCGCTCACAACGGAATCCCTTACGCCACCAGGCTTGAAATTTTGGGCTTGGACAACCTGGAACTACGTCGCCTTTGGTCTGACCTAAGTGTAGTACACAAAATTGCCTACTACAACGTCCTACCTGCTAATGACTACTTCAGCTTCAATCGCAATAATACTCGGGCAAAAAATCGATACAAACTCAAGGTAAACTGCTCCAAACTCAATTGCAGAAAATATGATTTCAGCAACAAGTCATTACTATTCCTTATTCTATTCCTATTCTATTCTTATTCTATCCCATTCCTTCCTATCCTATCCTATTTCTTTCCTATTCCTTATTCTATTCCTATTCCTTATTCTATTCCTCATTCTATTTCTATTCCATTCCACTCTATTCTATTCTATTCTTTTTCTATTCCTTATTCTTTTTCTATTCCTTATTCTAGTCCTATTCCTTATTCTAGTCCTATTCTTATTATTCCTATTCCTTATTCTATTTCTATTCCATTTCACTCCACTCTATTGTATTCTATTCCTTTGCAATTCCTTATTCTTTTTCTATTCCTTATTCTATTCTTATTCTATTCTATTCTACCTGGTCGGGAATGGAAACACCTGGCAGCTGGAGCCACATCTGGCTGGATTTCAACCCGTAACGCCAGTTACTCAATGTGCTTTTACTCCAAAGAGCAAGAAAGGGGGATGTTGAGTAAGTGAGTAGCAGGGCCTCCTTTGCCAAGGTCTATTTTTGGCTTCTCATTCTTGGCAGCTTCCGATCCATGTAAAGATTGTGGCATTCCAATGTCTGCGCAACCAGCTGTGTTACGGGAAACATCATAGGTCACTTCCTAAGCTGTTATTGCACAATTCAGGGAAGCTCAGTCTTTGGTGATCAAAATGACCAGGGAGCTACACGTTCTAAGTCCAGGAGGATCTGCATTTAGCCCAAACTTTCTATCGATCTAATCTATCTAATCTATCTAATCTATCTAATCTATCTAATCTATCTAATCTATCTAATC